TTAGTCAGCTTAACACCTGACTTCATGGTGATAACTGAGCTGAGGGCCGCTAGGTATGTAGATAGCGTTGAACCTTTTAACCGTTTTATTTGTCTGAGATGACAAAGATATTCCGCCACTTAAGGATGTGTTGCTTTCACTGCAGTGAAACCTTTCCTCAAGGCATATTTCTCAAAACTCTGCCACTTGTCGTCATACAAGTTACGAGTAGATCTGCGTAAAGCTAGTGTAACTGCTTTCGCTGCTCTGGCGGAGTATCCTCTTTTCGACAAGCAATTCGTGATACGTTCCATATGTGTAGGTGGAATAATCTGGGATACTTGTGCACTTGCTTGGTGTGAGGATGAATTAGTAGGTTCGACCAAACTGGAAGTTGTATTGTTGGTTTTCCGATTTCTTGTAAAAGAACGGGAAGCCACGTTCTTGCTGGCCAGTAAGGTGCGACCAAAATCAGTTGTAGATTGTTTGTCTGCCTGATTTTCTGTAATACCTGTGGTATTAACGCTGGCGGAGGGAATGCGTATGCGTTTAGCCCTTCCCATGGGATGCTTAGAGTGTCTGTCGCCCATGCTTGCGGATCGGGAATTGGGGAGACGAATGTTGCCAGTTGATTGTTGGATCTCGTGGCGAATAGGTCTACGAGTGAAGATCCTATCGTCTGTATGATGCATCTGAACGCTTGTGGATGTAACATCCATTCTGTTGGGGATGGTTGATGTGGTCGAGATAGCGCATCTGCTATTACATTCCTGGCTCCCGGGAATGTGACATGCTTTCACATAAATGTCGAGATTGTCTATTATGTTGAATAGTTGAAAGCTGAGGTCTAGAAGATTCCAAGATCTTGTTGATCCTTGTTTGTTTATGTAGAACGCCACTGTTGAGTTGTCCGTATGGATCATCAATTTTGCGTTCCTTAGTATGTTGGACCAATGTAGTTGGGCATTTACTACTGCTTTCATCTCGAGCATGTTGATATGCAGATTCATTTCTTGTTTTGACCATTTCCCGGCAACCACTTCGTTGTTGAGGTGTGCTCCCCAACCGTGCAGTGATGCGTCTGCGTAGAGGTGGACGTTGCACTCCGGCTCTATTAAGTAATTTCCGCCGCAAACATCTACCATAGTAGATATGGTTTTAGCCTGTCTGGTATTTCGAAGGGATCCAGACTGTGTAAGTGGGCGTTCACAAATCTCTGTAGTGGACGCAGTTGTAGTCTCCCTCTGTGCATCATGTCTTGAGCTGACGAGAGGAGACCTAATAGGCTCTGCCATTCTCGTAGTGTAACGGAGAGAGTAGAACTTGAGATACCATGACTTGTATCTAGACCCAAAGATCCTCTGAGACGACCTTGTCATTCTGTGGTGAGATGAAACATCTTCCCAGAATCTGCTCATGTTCTATGTTGTAAGTAAGTAGACAGTGGAACCCTTGCCATGTCCGTAAAGGAAGCGAAGGAACGTCCGGATCTGGGACTGCCATCGTTGTGAAGTCTATATATAGTAGACTGGCTGCCGCGAGCAAAATTCGTCAAACGTATGTTGTTGCAATTCGCCGGATAAACAGTCTTCAATCTGCTGACGGGGAAGGTCTCTAAATCCCGTAAGACAGTCAAATCACGCTGTATCCTGCTAACTGGACTGTAAATGAAGTCCTCCTCCCACGTTGAAATGTTGTTTACAATCTGTAGACAACTTCCTGACATGTGAGCGATGTCCGACTTCTGCGCAGGGCGTTGTCTCTCATGGACCAATCAAAATGCAGTATTTTGATTCCTTTCAGATTCCTGCGATGTGACATCACCGGTGTTGCCGGAAAAAGATCCTTGTGGAATCTTGTGCAGTCGTTGATTTCTTCATCAACACTCGGCCTTGTCCGTAACCTCCCGAAGTTACAAGAGTGACCACGTGTATAGAGGGCTGAATGGTAAACGCGTAATACCGATGTAGGTAGACTGACTCCCTGGCTGCTGTGACTGTTCCTTCATTCCTGAAGATAATGCAGTCGTCATCTTATACAGATGATCAGCAGAAATTCCATACTTGCTTAACGCTGTTACTTGTAGACTGTATTCATCGGTCTCAATGAAGCGTCGTAAAATACCCCCTTTGTGTTGAATACACAAAGGTGTTTGTAGAGTTGATACTTGCAACTTCAGTGTAAGATCTACAACGGGAGTCGTTGATGATCTTGCAGTTCACATCAATCTCTGGAGCCTTCATGAAGGGTTCTGTGTGAAGTAGTGGGAATTCCCTGGCTTGGACGTCGGGGATATGTTGACTGTGGAACTTCATAGCCTTACCAAGGCAGCGCTGAAATTCTCCGGTAGTATCTATCAAGTCGTTAGCTCTGAACCGCGACGACTTGACTGCCTGAAGATCTGCCTGTAGGTGAATGATCTGTATATGGACATGAGTCCCTCCTGGATTCTTAAGAAACATCTTTAACCTTCATGAATGTGTAGGTTCTCAGCGTCGAGGAGAGTTTTTGTGCAGTTAATCCCGCTACCCTCTTCTGATGTAGATATATCTTTTTTGACGACCCTGAATCCTTTCTGGAGATCAGTCTGAAACTCTGCCTGAAGACCTGCCTGAAGATCTGCATGATCGAGATGAGGGTCTCGTTGATAGCTCTTGACCTAGCTAGGCCGAAGAAGGTTCGTCTGGTTACTGTGTCTAACTGTGAGACAGGGTCGATAGGTGGAATCGTGAGTGTGTCTATATCATCATTCAACATCAAGTACGAGAGTGCTTCATTGGCCTCCTTAGAGGGTGATGCGAGTTCCAAACCGTTGGCCATCCATGACTTGATTTCAGAGTCGGAAAAAAAATAATTCTGCCGTCATCTTCCGATTTAGCAGTATCATGCTCTGAGGATTGATGTCTCCTAGTGTCTGGAGATCTGTAAGGCGATCTGTATGGAGATCTGCGTGGTGACCTTCGTGGCGAACCATACGTTCGCGCGAACCTGCGTTGTAGGTGAACAGCTCTGTCGAGGGTTGGAGTCTTGTGACAAATCTCTGTGCCTTCGCATGGGTGTAGATTCTCTTCTCCTTGGTAACAAACCCTTGCGTGCTGGTTCGTGACGAATGTCCGCATCTGAGGTAGATGACAATCTGCGTGGGTTCGGCGAACGTCTTGTCCTTGAGTGTTCGCCGAACGTAACTGGTGTAGGCTCTACGTTGGTAGGACTTCCAGACCTTCGTGCGGACGTTGTAGTCATGCTTGCGTGCAGGTTCGTGCTTGCGTGCAGGTTCGTGACGAACGTCCATATCTGACATCGATGGTGATCTACGTGGGTTCGGCGAACGTCTAGTCCTTCTGCCGAACATAGTCGGTGCAGGTTCCACGTTGGTATAGCTGCCAGGTATTCGTGCGGATGCTGTAGTCGAGCTGGAATCTTCCTGTACGCTCTGCAGGACGTTGGTTCCCAACGGACGTGGTGTGCAGCTCAGTTGATCTTTACTCGGGTTCGTCGCAGACATCGTCTTCGTCGCAGCTCTCTCGCGTGCGAACCGTTGTTCCATCAGATCCAACATCTGCTGGGTAAATTGCTGCATAAAGGCGCCGCCCGGGTTGAAGGTCTGCATTGTCTGTTGTACTGACGACGCATCTGAGACGGATGAGGCTTCTTCCGAAAGGCGTTGATCCTTCGTGCCGAACGTCTGCGTTGAAAGGTTGTCCTGCGTGGTCACTGTAGAAGACGTCTTCGTCTTCTTCTTAGATGTGATCTCAGGGATGAGGATTGGCGGCTTATCGTAGACATCTACTTCTTCCAGGGAGACGATCTCAGCTGAAAAGGACCTCGTTTTCTGCGTTGCCCCATGTGGAGACTTCGACGAAGTCTAGTTGTAGCTGACTTCTTTCTCTGGGAAGACGATGCCCTAGTCTTCTTAGACTGCGAAGAGGAAGTATCAGATGTAGATGACCTCTTCCTCGAGCCAGCGTTGTCTATGGCAGCAACCTCCTCCGTAGACGACCCCGGTAGACCACTGGAATGGTGCATCTGCGCAGACACCAACTGCCGGTCCTCTGCAAGCTTAGCCCGGTTTAGACATGTCGTGTAATTCTCGTCTGGACCTGTCCTTTGCACGTCTAGACAGATAATATGAATATTTGTAAAATGCAATATCAGACAGGTGAAAACACAACTGACAACGAGTGTCAGATAAACATATAGGCTTGCAATTAGGACAAAGGTTATGCGGATCAACAGCAGACAAACGATACCTACAACCAGAACAAGATTTCATCAATTGTAAACAATGAATAATCAATAAAAGCGTGACAAAAAGCGGAGAAATTTGAGAATTAATTCCGTAGAATATTGTAGGTAAATGTTAACTAAAGCCTTATACAGCTAATTTAGAAGAAATGCCTAAATAATAAAAGGATATAAAGCCGTATAGGGGACCAGGTGCTCTCACAACCGCCCACTCGGGCGAATCAGGAGAGAGTGAAGAGCATGGGAGAAAGGTGTCACCGTTTCACGCCAAAACCTGGGAAGGGAGGTGACTCCTGGTAAGTGATTTTACGTCCGCTTTTTTGAAGGGAGCTTCAAAAGGGGATTCAAGTGTTCCACTAGCATTCGGAAGGAAAGGGAGACAAGCAATAAGCATGAGTCAGGATAAGGAAAAATAATAAATCACTGAAATCATCAAACTATTTCTTCAGATAAACAACCTGTTTGGAATAACTTTATTTTATAGTTGAGATAATAAATCACTAAAATTATCAAACTATTTATTCAGATAAACAACCTTTTTGCAAAATCTTTATTCTATAGTTGAGATAATAAATCAGTGAAATCATCAAACTATTTCTTCAGATAAACAACCTGTTTGCAATATCTTTATTCTATAGTTGAGATAATAAATCACTGAAATTATCAAACTATTTCTCCAGATAAACAACCTGTTTGCAAAAGTTGAGATAATAAATAATAGATTGACTATTGATATGTTGACTTTGTTCCAAGGACACACATGGCTGGCACATTACCTTGCTGTCTTTATGGTAATAGCTCAATACTGGGAATCTGCCGTATTGGCGGAAGGTTGCTGCTTTAGCAACAGTTTCATCGTCCACTAATTTTGGAACAATCAACGCCTGTGGGTAAGATGAGCACACCTGCAACAAATATGGTTTGAATGACCTCAAATGAGTAAACAGCTGAGAAGTGAAATTGTGTTTTCATGTAAAGTTACTCCTTCAACTTCTTCAGATGCACCAATCATTATGTTGTGCAAGTTACAACATTAACTACCTGGCAGTAACAAAGGACACATCCAGCTTTCTCAGCAACCTCAAAGTTGAGCTTTATACATACCACAGAAACTTACTGAACAATTTCCCATTGATTCAGTGATATCAGTTAAGGTGTGATCATGTGCCACAGAAGATACAAATAATTACTCACAATTTCAGAAATATATGTGGCCAATGTAGTTGTATGTATAAATCCTTTTAAAATCCCAAATATTTTACACATATTTATTACAAGTAATAAGTTGTTAGTTCATTAAGTTTTACCAGTCAGCACCAACACAGTAGATATGTACTAATGTGTCACTCTCTAATTGTCCCAGGAAGCTCAACACACTGAGTGAGTGAGTGAGTGAGTGAGCGAGTTTAGTTTTACGCCACACTCTGCAATGTTCCATTAGTGTCCAATATTCCAAAAGTGTCAGCTTGAGGGGGGGGGGTGTCATTGAAAGGCTGTCCTAATCTACTCCTGGCATGCTTGACTCGATGTCTATAGATAAACACTCAGGGTTGTCGATGTAACAGAAACAACTGAGGAAAACTCAGAGACGTCAACAAATTTTAATGATCATGATAATGCTGAGAAAGGCATTACAAGCAATGAAAATGTCAGTATGGAGCCAAAATTCTGCAATATTTTTCACAATAAATAACTGACAACAGTAATTTTGTCTGAAGCCATGTACTGTATAAATTATCCCTCTGCTACATTACTTTGATATACAATGTTTTCTATTCCGGAATGAAAGTTGTTGGTTCTATGACATAACACAGTGTGCCCAGTCCACAGATGAAGGAAGAAGGATCATGGTTAACTGGCATGTTCCATGTTTTATGGACAACAGATGCACACTCAGTGACCCTTGGACAGCATAACTACACTGAAGAATATCAGGGCCTTCTGAACAAGTGGTATTGAGTAAAATACCTTCAACAAATCTGATACAGTCATGCATGTTCAGCAACACTACATATCAGCCAAATCCATCATGCCACTTTGGAAAAAACGCCAAATCTGAAAATCTGATGACTTGTGAACTGATGTTTCAAAAATAAGAAAACATACCTGAAAGTCCTTGTTGACATAACTAAGTCTCCATTCATCAGAACATTCCTTAGAACGCCCGAATTCTGTTTCAGGTAAAAATGCTTGCCAGCCATCCTCCATCACTTCAAAGTTAGCTCGGTAGAAGAATGGGTATTTCAGTGTCATGTCATCTGCAATATAAGAAATATCTGAAGCTTGGCTATCAAGTCATCTTTGCATCCTTTCAAGAAGCTGCTTGCTCATTCATGTTCTGTTCACGTCTCCCAGCCAGCACACAGACAGCATGGTCATACCACTATCACTATCAACAATCACACACGAGGAGTCGAGTTCCAGTCCTTGAGGGATCACACTGAAATTAACCCTTTTACAACATGACATACATGCACAACACAGACATGGAAAGGAAATAATTTCCTATAATGCAATTATGTGTTTCTCTGTGTGATGAGACTGAAAGTGACACTGTGTTTGTTTTGTTGTTTACACCAAACACAGCAATATTCCAGTGAGCAGTGCCAAAAATCCACTGACTAACATTGTGACAATTGATGCTATCAAACTAAATTTATCCCTCAAGTTACCAGTATAGCGAACTGAGCTGATGTTGATTCTTGCACACACAAAAGAAGTGAGGCATTTCCAGCATTTGAACATGGAGAGACTTAGCTGATAGTGCTAGTGCAGCAATAACTAGTTATGCACACACCGATGACAGTGAAGAGGACATCTGTTGATAATCTGGAAGTTCAGTTAATTGTGACTGAATACACTGTTGATGGCAATGATGTAATAGAGGTAGGGGATTCATGAGAATTATTCAGTTTCAGCTCCAGGGCCTTGTCATTTGACAGAAGAGGTAAAATGCATAACCATTAGAAATTAACATCAACAAATGGTAAAAGGTCATAGAGTGATAAAAAAACTCTATTTTATAAAAAAAATATACTTTATGTGACAGTGAATACATGCTGATATTAAATGCCATAATTATAAATGCAGATATAGCTGAGTGAAAAGGTCATTTTCAACAAGGAAACCACCTAAAAGGTTAGGTAAGAATTCTGTGGCTAAAGTTTGTAGAGGAGTAGTATATATAATGGGGGTAAGAAATCAAGTCCAACAAAAGCCTCTGCAAAACCTTATTTCACAAATAAAGCTTTTGTCAGGCCCTTAGATCCCGCCACCATTATATCTACTACTTTTGAACCCCCAGTTAACTTCCCGACTGCACGTTGCCGCGAATACACCTATAAAAAGTTGAGACACCAGCGGGATACGAACCCACATGTATACCTCACGCGAACTATAATAGGCCGCACAACTCAACCGATTGAGCTACCGGGGACTTAGCTGAAGTATCTTGGTTTAACGGGTCTATCCTGGGATTGCATCATCGCTACACGTGGCACTATGTCACGTTGACAGGAGGTAACATTGTACCGTACGGTATGACTAATAATTCCTCTCTAACGAAAGCTCTCCCTGGCCCATCTCTCAAGTAGTACTAATTCGGCTCGTCGGCTTTGATGTCCACTTTATCTATGTTGTAAGTTTTGATTGACCATATAGGATCGGTGGCTCGTTTCCGAGCGTCACCCTCGTGTTCCCCCGGCTGGTAGAGGTACCTCACTAGTGCCCTATCGGGTATCTGTTTCTCCTTCCCACGCAATGGGGCAGCCGACTCTGCCAATATTGATTTTAGTTTGATAGCATCTGCTGGTTTCTTGCCGGTGAGACGGGTGGTTTCGTGGTTTATGGCTGACACCACCTTAGGTAACCGAGCTACCCATTCAGTCGACCGTTTCCCCGGGTTGGCCATCTCTCTAGCATACTGATGTCCGAATAAGCGCTCAGCCAAAGTCCTATTGAATCTCTCAACTATGGCTTGGCTGCGATGGGCTCCGGCCGTGCCACGCCTGACCTTTGTATCGTGTTTGTCTAACAGGTGTGACACGACACCCATGAACTCCCGCCCGGGGTCAACTTGCAGCTCTGTTGGCCATGTCAGCGGACTGCGTTTGTATATGCGTTCGAATCCGCTGGCTACCTGGGCCTAATCTTTCGTGGTTAAGGCGTCGGCTTCCTTGTAGCGACTGGCAACATCCACTACAGTAAGGGCATACTTGTACCTCTTGTCATGGGGTAGGAACAGGAGGTCGGCCTGGTGAACGCTATTGGGCATGGTAATACCGAACTTCCTTCTAGGTACGTAGCGTGGTGCCGGTAAATAGATCTGCCACAGGGCTTGTTTTTCAAGCCACGCTTTGGCCTCCTCCGGGTGTACTCGCGCCATTTTAGCCAGCTTATGTACGGCGCCAACTCCTTTCCAGTACCCACGCGGGCTGTAGTAAATAGCCTCAAACTCTCTCTGGTTCCGTGACATGTCACCCCGATATATATACACCTATGTTCTTGGTTCAATTTTCTCATGCCCGTACGCGTACGTGTTGATCCCATCAATAGCTATCCAACGCTTAGTGTCCATCGGCAACAGGGACGTCTTGTTTATCGTCAGTCCGTATATCCTATGCCCATCACTTCTCAGAGTGTTCATTTTATGTCTAAAGGTACGGGTCTTGAACAGGGCTTCCTTGAATCTGGCGTGTTTGATGTGTTGTTTCACCACGCACTTCTTAACACCCTTCGCCTTCGGATCTCACCATTGTCGGCCTTCAGGATGGAGTACATCTTAGGCCTCAAACCTATGTACTGGCTATGGGCGCAAGCAGCACACTCGTCCTTCATCTTACCTAGGACCTTTTATTTACCGTGCTGTGTATGGCATGGTCCTTGGGGTAGTCACTGGTGTCATACAAATCGGTATGTTTTTCATGTCCTCGCATTACACGCCCTCGGTTCGAATCTCCATCAGCAGGGAATCCGTGTCAGTGTACAGAACTTCACACCTGTCGTCGTACTGTTTCTTAAGCTCGTTGTAGTAAAAGTTGTACATCAGGTGTTTGGATAAATCGAGGATGCTCATCCCCACGTAAACAGGCCGGTTGAATTTTATGTGGCTTTTCTTCATGTGTAGGGCAACCAGGTCGTCGGTGAATATTTTGCTACGGTTCGGACTGGCTATCAGTCTCCTGAGCTTGTCTTCCTCATTCGACCAAACCACCTTCACGGTCACGCGTTTCCTCAGGTTCTCCATAGTCTTACCAAACACCGAGTTGTTCATGAGCTTGTAGAGATTTTTCTCAAAGTCACTGGTGGCAAGCTTTCGCAGGTCCGTGTTCATTCTGATGTATGGCTCCATCCAGGGGCTCTGGTTGAACACGAGCACCCTGTGTATTTTGGTCAGCCTCATACCCAACGACAGGTACAGCTGTAGGTTGCGATAGTGAACGATGTACTTGGTCATTCTGTTTTTCTACTTTAGTGATCTGGGATATGGGGGTGGGTTCATCTATACCATCCAAGTTGAGCCCATCGTCTTGGGGATAACTAGAAGGCCTGTTCGAATTAGTGTCAGCTGGAAACAAGGCTGACCTGATAGCTAACCTCAGGCAATCGTCTCCTCTATTCTTGACGTTGACCATGGCCTGTTTTTTCTTATAGTAGGGGGGCAAGTCTAGGTATGACCCGCCTCTGAACGGCACGTAGTTAGCTATGTCTAGATAGACATTATCGATTTTATCAACAACCCACCCGGACCCCATGTGTGTGTAGCGTTCTAGGTATTCTCGTATCTGCTGAAAACTGGTATCGATTGATGCGCTATGGTCTCTGTATGCGATCTTCTTGTTTACCTCGAAGTAAGGCTGAACGTACTCAGTGACTCCCAGTGGGGGTTCCCCACGCTCTTATCGAGTGACATTTTCACTGTGATTTGAAACTTTATACTTCCCAAATCGCTTAGTTCCTGGTTGACTTTATCAGCTATCAGAGGCTTGATATCTGTGATGTCTATGTTCCTATCAACATGCATGCGCCAGCCTCTCAAATAGTTACCTACAGCTACAGTGGGTATGAACTGTAGGTCAATAGCTCTATTCTGCCGTAATAGTTCTACAAGCTGTGGCTTCCTCATACGGGAATAACCGCCTAAACCCAAATTGCGTACCTCGGCTTTTAATTGTTTTACAGTGGGAGGTTTTGCTACGGGGTCATGTGATAACAATGCGACTAACCCGGCTCTCTGCCCAGGTTGGAATAACCCGTGAACCCAAGCTCTTTTGCTCGGAATTTTAGTCATTTTACCGTGGGAGGGGCTTGTATGTTAAGTAATCTCAACAATGCTGATTTGGTCATTCGAGAATAACCAATTACACCACGCTGTCTGGCGATCTGCTTGAGCTCGCGAGTAGTAGACATTGTTATACCAAAGCGTATACAATCTCTAATTGGGCCACCGGCAAGGGCCAACCTTGATAAAAATAGTGAGGCGCTCATAAAATCCTTTAGTAAATATCTAGATAGGCCTTATCAATTATACCCTCGACCCACCCGGAACATGCGCAGCATAGTAGGGTGTTTTGTATTACTTGCAACGAGCCATCAACAAGTATATCTATGTCCCCATGCACATCTACTCGACCACCATCAAAGTAATTCCAAGTGTGCTCAGCAGCCCACGGTACATCAAACCCTACTTTCACCATGATTGTAAACGAGCACCCCTTATATAGTTCGCTAACAATCATGGGTTTGAGGACACTGATATCTATACTTTCCCCCACATCCATCTGCCAGCTTCTCAGGCAACGACTTTCCCTAGGCTCAACTTCCACGAACATCATTATACCTATGTGTACACAGGCTCTAATTGGGTCACTACACCTCCATGCTAAGGGGGCGCATACATTCGTTTATGTAGGCCTTTTTCTTCTCGTAGATAAGCTGGTGCCTGACTACATTTGCCCCGTGGTCTTTACATAAACGGTAGTGGCATCTCACTCCAATACCGCACACTGAACACGTGTAGTTCACAAAACATTTTCTATGAAAACAGCAATACCCCTCCATCCTACATTTCCTACCACAGGTCTCAGTCTTCCCCCTCAGTATGTACTGACATCGGTACGGGGCAGGTCTCATCTTTGGTATACTTATATGAGTACTTAGTCTAATTGTTTCGCAACCAACGCAGTCGCTGCTAGACCCAGCGCGATAAAGACCAGTTCCCGGTCCTTTTGCCTCGGGGATGGTGTGTAGTACTGAGCGA